CTTTCTGTTCCAGAGCGTGGCCAACCTGATGGAAAGGCGGCTCCACGAGACCAAGGAGAACCGGTGAGCAAGTCTGTGTTTGGGGGTGTTTGTGGGGGGATCCAGAACTACCAAGGGGTCCCAGGTCTCCCACCGTAATAACGATGGCCGACTTCATTCGAACCCTATATTCCTTACCCTTACCCATAAGTCCCAGCGGGTTGAGGCCATCTTGTCCTTGTTGCAGGACTTAGCTTAGCCTTCTTCGTACCCTTCCTCTTGCCCTTATTCTTATTCATATTCTAATGCTTCTTCCCCTTTCTCTTTTCCCTCTGGCCGCTTCCCGGTCCAGGCACCTGCTGGAGAAGTCCCAGCGGGAGGAGGCCATCTTGTCCTCGTTGCATTCCTTACCCTTATTCTTCCTCTTCCTCTTGCCCTTATTCTTACTCATATTCTAACGCTTCTTCTTCCTTTTCTTTCTCTTTTCCCGCTGGCCGCTTCCCGGTCCAGGCACCTGCTGGAGAAGTCCCAGCGGGAGGAGGCCATCTTGTCCTCGTTGCATTCCTTACCCTTATTCTTCCTCTTCCTCTTGCCCTTATTCTTACTCATATTCTAACGCTTCTTCTTCCCCTTCTTTCTCTTTTCCCGCTGGCCGCTTCCCGGTCCAGGCACCTGCTGGAGAAGTCCCAGCGGGAGGAGGCCATCTTGTCCTCGTTGCATTCCTTACCCTTATTCTTCCTCTTCCTCTTGCCCTTATTCTTACTCATATTCTAACGCTTCTTCTTCCTTTTCTTTCTCTTTTCCCGCTGGCCGCTTCCCGGTCCAGGCACCTGCTGGAGAAGTCCCAGCGGGAGGAGGCCATCTTGTCCTCACTGCAGCCTTACCTTACCCTTACTTGTATCCTTCCTCGTATTCTAACACTTCTTTTTCCCCGTCTTTCTCTTTTCCCTCTGGCCACTTCCCGGTCCAGGCACCTGCTGGAGAAGTCCCAGCGGGAGGAGGCCATCTTGTCCTCGTTGCATTCCTTACCCTTATTCTTCCTCTTCCTCTTGCCCTTATTCTTACTCATATTCTAACGCTTCTTCTTCCTTTTCTTTCTCTTTTCCCGCTGGCCGCTTCCCGGTCCAGGCACCTGCTGGAGAAGTCCCAGCGGGAGGAGACCATCTTGCCCTCACTGCAGCCTTACCTTACCCTTACTCGTACCCTTTCTCGTATTCTAACACTTCTTTTTCCCCGTCTTTCTCTTTTCCCGCTGGCCGCTTCCCGGTCCAGGCACCTGCTGGAGAAGTCCCAGTGGGAGGAGGCCATCTTGTCCTCACTGCAGCCTTACCTTACCCTTACTCATGCCCTTCCTCGTATTCTAACACTTCTTTTCCCCCGTCTTTCTCTTTTCCCTCTGGCGACTTCCCGGTCCAGGCACCTGCTGGAGAAGTCCCAGCGGGAGGAGGCCATCTTGTCCTCACTGCAGCCTTACCTTACCCTTACTCGTACCCTTCCTCGTATTCTAACACTTCTTTTTCCCCGTCTTTCTCTTTTCCCTCTGGCCACTTCCCGGTCCAGGCACCTGCTGGAGAAGTCCCAGCGGGAGGAGGCCATCTTGTCCTCACTGCAGCCTTACCTTACCCTTACTCGTACCCTTCCTTCCTTGTATTCTAACACTTCTTTTTCCTTGTCTTTCTCTTTTCCCGCTGGCCGCTTCCCGGTCCAGGCACCTGCTAGAGAAGTCCCAGCGGGAGGAGACCATCGGGAGGAGGCCATCTTGTCCTCGTTGCATTCCTTACCCTTATTCTTCCTCTTCCTCTTGCCCTTATTCTTACTCATATTCTAACGCTTCTTTTTCCCCTTCTTTCTCTTTCCCTCTGGCCACTTCCCGGTCCAGGCACCTGCTGGAGAAGTCCCAGCGGGAGGAGGCCATCTTGTCCTCGTTGCATTCCTTACCCTTATTCTTCCTCTTCCTCTTGCCCTTATTCTTACTCATATTCTAACGCTTCTTCTTCCTTTTCTTTCTCTTTTCCCGCTGGCCGCTTCCCGGTCCAGGCACCTGCTGGAGAAGTCCCAGCGGGAGGAGGCCATCTTGTCCTCGTTGCATTCCTTACCCTTATTCTTCCTCTTCCTCTTGCCCTTATTCTTACTCATATTCTAACGCTTCTTCTTCCTTTTCTTTCTCTTTTCCCGCTGGCCGCTTCCCGGTCCAGGCACCTGCTGGAGAAGTCCCAGTGGGAGGAGGCCATCTTGTCCTCGTTGCATTCCTTACCCTTATTCTTCCTCTTCCTCTTGCCCTTATTCTTACTCATATTCTAACGCTTCTTCTTCCTTTTTTTCTTTCTCTTTTCCCGCTGGCCGCTTCCCGGTCCAGGCACCTGCTGGAGAAGTCCCAGCGGGAGGAGGCCATCTTGTCCTCGTTGCATTCCTTACCCTTATTCTTCCTCTTCCTCTTGCCCTTATTCTTACTCATATTCTAACGCTTCTTCTTCCTTTTCTTTCTCTTTTCCCGCTGGCTGCTTCCCGGTCCAGGCACCTGCTGGAGAAGTCCCAGCGGGAGGAGGCCATCTTGTCCTCACTGCAGCCTTACCTTACCCTTACTCGTATCCTTCCTCGTATTCTAACACTTCTTTTTCCCCGTCTTTCTCTTTTCCCTCTGGCCACTTCCCGGTCCAGGCACCTGCTGGAGAAGTCCCAGCGGGAGGAGGCCATCTTGTCCTCACTGCAGCCTTACCTTACCCTTACTCGTACCCTTCCTCGTATTCTAACACTTCTTTTTCCCCGTCTTTCTCTTTTCCCTCTGGCCACTTCCCGGTCCAGGCGCCTTCTGGAGAAGTCCCAGCGGGAGGAGGCCATCTTGTCCTCACTGCAGCCTTACCTTACCCTTACTCGTACCCTTCCTCGTATTCTAACACTTCTTTTTCCCCGTCTTTCTCTTTTCCCGCTGGCCGCTTCCCGGTCCAGGCACCTGCTGGAGAAGTCCCAGCGGGAGGAGGCCATCTTGTCCTCACTGCAGCCTTACCTTACCCTTACTCGTACCCTTCCTCGTATTCTAACACTTCTTTTTCCCCGTCTTTCTCTTTTCCCTCTGGCCACTTCCCGGTCCAGGCGCCTTCTGGAGAAGTCCCAGCGGGAGGAGGCCATCTTGTCCTCATTGCATACCTTACCCTTATTTGTACCTGTCTTTTTACCCGTATTCTTACTCGTATTCTAACGCTTCTTCCTCCCCGTCTTTCTCTTTTCCCTCTGGCCGCTTCCCGGTCCAGGCGCCTTCTGGAGAAGTCCCAGCGGGTGGAGGCCATCTTGGCTTCCTTGCAGTCGTCTGGGGGCGCCGAGGAGGCCCAGTTGCAGGAGATCGAGGAGATGATCACGGCCCCTGAACGCCAGCAGCTGGAGGACCTCAAGCGCAACGTCCACAAGTGAGTCCTTCCAAAGGATTCATTGCGGACTAAACCGAACTAAACGTGGGCCGAACGGAAGGGACGCGGCACTAATAAAACTCTGTTTCTTCCCCTTTTTCAAATCCAAGGATCGACGCCAGCGAAAACCAAGTGGACGAGACCATCTTCATCCTGGAGTCGTACATCAACAGCACCGTCAAGCCTTGAAACGGACGTCTCTTCCGCCTTTATTTTCACAAATAAATACAATATTTTGGTGCAAAGAAATGCTTTCTATTCTTCAATGCAACCCTATATATAGAAACAGACCTTTTCCTGATCCTTCCAGGAGGAATGTCTTCTTCTATTTTTAGTATTATTATTGTTATTGTTGAACAATGAACAATATTTATTGATCCGCCAATTGGCCTTATCAAATCAGACAGTAGAAATACAACACACAATAGTCTTATTGTTGTAATTATTTCTTAACAGTTATTTCTATACAATGTGGGATGATATTATTATTATTATTATTATTATTATTATTATTATTATTAATCACACCCTGCATTGAATAGAGTTATGTAAGAAATAATTACAAGAATAATATAAAGTAAAATAAATAATAATAATAATAATAATAATAATAATAATATACTTCAATTTTGGATAGGATTATTATTATTATTACATAATAATATATTTCAATGTGGGGTGGGATTATTATTATTATTATTATTATTATTATTAATCTCACCCCACATTGAATAGCGTTATGTAAGAAATAATTACAACAATAATAATATAAAGTAAAATAATATATAATAATAATAATAATAATAATAATAATAATATATTTCAATGTGGGGTGGGATTATTATTATTATTATTATTATTATTATTAATCTCACCCCACATTGAATAGCGTTATGTAAGAAATAATTACAACAATAATAATATAAAGTAAAATAATATATAATAATAATAATAATAATAATAATATATTTCAATGTGGGGTGGGATTATTATTATTATTATTATTATTATTATTAATCTCACCCCACATTGAATAGCGTTATGTAAGAAATAATTTACAACAATAATAATATAAAGTAAAATAATATATAATAATAATAATAATAATAATAATAATAATAATATATTTCAATGTGGGGTGGGTATTATTATTATTATTATTATTATTATTATTATTATTATTATTAATCTCACCCCACATTGAATAGCGTTATGTAAGAAATAATTACAACAATAATAATATAAAGTAAAATAATATATAATAATAATAATATACTTCAATTTGGGGTAGGATTATTATTATTATTATTATTATTATTATTATTATTATTAATCTCACCCCATATTGAATAGAGTTGTGTAAGAAATATTTACAACAATAATAATGTAAAATAATATATGTAAAATAATAATAATAATATATAATAATAATATATTTCAATGTGGGGTGGGATTATAATTATTATTATTATTGTTGTTATTGACTGATGAACTATTTTTATTGATCCGCCAATTGGCCTTATTACAACAGAGAATGGAAATATCACACACAATATTATTATTGTTGTAATTATTTCTTACATAACTCTATTCAATGTAGGATGAGATTATTATTGTTATTATTATTATTATTAATCGCACCCCACATTGAATAGCGTTATGTAAGAAATAATTACAAGAATAATATAAAGTAAGATAATATATAATAATAATATATTTCAATGTTGGGTGGGATTATTATTATTAATCTTACCTCACATTGAATAGAGTTATGTAAGGAATAATTACAACAATAATAATATAAAGTAAAATAATATATAATAATAATAATAATATACTTCAATTTGGGGTAGGATTATTATTATTATTATTATTATTATTATTATTATTATTATTATTAATCTCACCCCACATTGAATAGAGTTATGTAAGAAAATAATACATAATAATATATTTCAATGTGGGGTGGGATTATTATTATTATTATTATTATTATTATTCTCCCCTCACATTGAATAGAGTTATGTAAGAAATAATTACAAGAATAATAATATAAAATAGTATATAATAATAACAATAATAATAATATATTTCAATGTGGGGTGGGATTATTATTATTATTATTATTATTATTATTATTATTATTCTCTCCTCACATTGAACAGAGTTATGTAAGAAATAATTACAACAATAATATAAAATAATATATAATAATAATAATAATATATTTTAATGTGGGATTATTATTATTATTATTCTCACCTCACATTGAATAGAGGTATGTAAGAAATAATTACAACAATCATAAAATAAAATAATATAATAATATATTTCAATGTGGGGTGGGATGATGATGATGATTATTATTATTATTATTAATCTCACCCCACGTTGAATAGAAATATGTAAGAAATAATTACAACAATAATAATATAAAATAGTATATAATAATAATAATAATAATAATAATATATTTCAATGTGGGGTGGGATTATTATTATTATTATTATTATTATTATTATTATTAATCTCACCCCATATTGAATAGAGTTGTGTAAGAAATATTTACAACAATAATAATGTAAAATAATATATGTAAAATAATAATAATAATATATAATAATAATATATTTCAATGTGGGGTGGGATTATAATTATTATTATTATTGTTGTTATTGACTGATGAACTATTTTTATTGATCCGCCAATTGGCCTTATTACAACAGAGAATGGAAATATCACACACAATATTATTATTGTTGTAATTATTTCTTACATAACTCTATTCAATGTAGGATGAGATTATTATTGTTATTATTATTATTATTAATCGCACCCCACATTGAATAGCGTTATGTAAGAAATAATTACAAGAATAATAATATAAAGTAAAATAATATATTATAACAATAATAATATACTTCAATTTGGGGTAGGATTATTATTATTATTATTATTATTATTATTATTATTAATCTCACCCCACATTGAATAGAGTTATGTAAGAAAATAATACATAATAATAATATATTTCAATGCGGGGTGGGATTATTATTATTAATCTCACCCCACATTGAGTACAGTTATGTAAGAAATAATTACAACAATAATATAAAGCAAAATAATATATAATAATAATATATTTCAGTGTGGGGTGGGATTATTATTATTATTATTAATCGCACCCCGCATTGAATAGAGTTATGTAAGATCACTAAATTCGACAACTATCGGCCTGTTTCCAATCTCCCCTTCTTGGGCAAAGTCTTGGAACGTGTGGTGGCCTCACAACTCCAGGAATTCTTGGTAGACACGGATTATCTAGACCCGGCACAGTCTGGCTTTAGGCCGGGACATGGTACCGAGACAGCCTTGGTCGCCTTAGTGGATGATCTGCGCCGGGAGCTCGACAGGGGGAGTGTGTCCCTGTTGGTGCTGCTGGACCTCTCAGCGGCCTTCGATACCGTCGACCACGGTATCCTTCTGGGACGCCTCGCGGGGATGGGTCTTGGAGGTACTGTTTTGCAGTGGCTCCGGTCATTCCTGGAGGGTCGATCTCAGAAGGTGTTGTTGGGGGACACCTGTTCAACCCCACAACCATTGTCTTGTGGGGTTCCTCAGGGCTCAATATTGTCTCCCATGTTGTTTAACATCTACATGAAGCCGCTGGGGGAGATCATCCGGAGTTTCGGGGTACGGTGTCATCTGTACGCGGATGATGTCCAACTCTGTCACTCCTTTCCACCTGCTACTAAGGAGGCTGTCCAGGTCCTGAACCGGTGCTTGGCCGCTGTGACGGTCTGGATGAGGGCGAACAAATTGAAATTGAATCCAGACAAGACAGAGGTACTCCTGGTCAGTCGCAAGGCCGAACAGGGTATAGGGTGACAGCCTGTGTTGGACGGGGTCGCACTCCCCCTGAAGACGCAGGTTCGCAGTTTGGGTGTGATCCTGGACTCATCGCTGAGCCTGGAACCCCAGGTTTCGGTGGTGACCAGGGGAGCATTTGCACAGTTAAAACTTGTGCGCCAGATGTGCCCGTACCTTGGGAAGTCTGACTTGGCCACGGTAGTCCACGCTCTGGTTACATCCCGTTTAGACTACTGCAATGCTCTCTACG